TAGTCCTATTGTGATAGATGGACAATTCTCCCAGATTATAGTAGGGAAGGAATTAAAAGAGAGAAAACTCTCAGATAATAGTTCATGAGGATGATAATTATATGGATATTGGATGATGATTATAAGGGATGTTGGGCCCTTCCAGGAAAAGCAGCTCTCCTCTAGCTGGCCTTACACATTAGATGTTGAGCCTCAAAGTGTTTTAAAAATCAGTAATTTCAGCCAAAATTTCAGCCAATTCCTGAGATGTGCTAAGAAAACAATATAGACTACTCATTGATGAAAATGAATTTCAGCAAACAACTTTACAAAAGACATTCAAAACCAATCAGAATCACATAGGTGTCTCAGGTCACTTGCTATCACTTCTTAGTAATCCGACTAGAAATCAAACAATCAATAATTAATAATAAACTATATTGAAAAGATACAGGTTTAAATATGAATCAAGAGGAACAAGTACCCAATAAATTATATGTATTCAGTTTCCATTTCTGCTCCCCAAAATGAGTACTTACAAATGCTCTGAATGGATGACCAATTATTATGGAATTAATATGCATATAAAATTTCACAACATTATTTGAAATCTTTACATGTTAAATTTCACAATGGAAATCTGGACTCTTCAAAAATATGTCTGCTTATCATTTGGTAACAAATTACCTTAATTATAATATGTACCTTAAGATAAAAATTGTAAATGAATGTTTAATCTTCTAAAATCTAATGGTTTATTATAAAGTAGCGAGTACCAGATATATAAATGTAATGTTTTCAGACATATGCTCTGTGTGTGCACACAATGAGAGGTGACATTAACAAATGTCATCAAATAGACAGAGTCAACATGAGTATATATGCTTAGGTCTTGATTTGAGGTTTCACATGAGTTTATTTTGATGATAAGAGTAAAAGGATTTAGAACCAATGGCTAGTTAAAATCCTTTGATAATTAGGCATATGGTCACTCTGACTTCAAAGTAACAACCTCATTATATCCAATTAGCTTTAAGATGTCTAAATGTTCCTACTGATTGACCCACAAAACCAAGAAGTATAAGGTACTAAAAGTCACAATCAAGGGAGTGTTTTGTTTTGTTTTTCTTTCAAAGGATGTCACTTGTGAATACAATATCAAATAAGGCAATTGTGTTAGAAGAAAAAACTGTAAGAACTGTCTGGGTTTTTTGTGTGTGTGTGAAATACAATCAACACTCATCAGAGGTACAGCATTATTTCTTTTACATGGTGGAACTTAATTCTATTCATGCTTTACCCTCATTCATCATTTTATTTATTATTCTTGCTATTTAGAAACTTCAGTGTAGTATCACTTAATTTGTTCAATTAGAAAAAATAAAAATATTCATTAGCTGTTTTTTTTCCCCCATCCTCATCCTAAAACTCCAAAGTCTTTAACAAACTGCAGAATCTCTATTAAATAAAGTGTTGCTTTTACAGCTACTAATTCTAAAAGTCAAGCTGACATGATGGAAACGTTGTATTTCACTGCAACATAACTGTTTAGCCTGAGATAAACACATAGTAAAAGTTACATATGTCTCAATATTCTTATCCATAAAACAATCAGAAGCCATTTCAACCAACATCAGAGTTACTCTCTTATAATACAGCATATAAACATAAAAACTGAGTACATGAGAATATTAGGTGAATTAGAAGTAATATTTCATAAGGAAACTTGCCTTAAAATGATCCTGCACAGAATCATGGAAGTTCCCAGTTATTTTAGGAGGTGACTATATATTACCAAATGTAACAGAGTATCCCATGGATTCCTACCATTATCTTTTATCAGGAGGCAGCACAGTTTCAGGTATTTTGACATGTTTTCATATACATGCACTATTACACCTCTTGTAACTTGGAAGCAGTAAGGAACCCTAAAAATTATTTAGGGTACGTGATGAAATTTATAGATCACTTTATAGTCCCAAAATATCTTAATGTGACCCAACTGTTCTTTATATTAAAAGATAAAAATTTCACTTGTTAAGAGCCAAACAAATTATTCATGCAAAATTGTTTCATGCCCCAGTTTACTTTTGTGTAAGAAGGTTGAAGGATACCACCCAACAACATTTCTAAACTCACTTGTTTTTTTATTCTGCAATGACTATTAGAGAACATCAACCAATTTTCAAACTGCAGAGAGGAGCAAAATCAAAGAGCAGGGTTTCAAACCTGTTAGTTTAGGAACAGCCCCCTGCTGGTAATTTGCATATCCACCCTTATACTGAATCAGAAGCTACATTTTTATGCATGCATATGGACCAGTAAGATTATAAACTGTAGATTCTTATTCTGTATATCTAGAATGTTGTTGTTGTTAAGTGCCATTGAGTCCGTTCCTACTCATAAGGACCCTGCATAGGGTTTCCCAGGAGCAGCTGGTGGGTTTGAAATGTCCACCTTGTGGTTCCAAGTCCATTGCCGATGGATCCTACAGTGCCTAGGAATGTCTAATTCTCAGCAAGTGGTCAAACAGAATAGAACTGGTTTAAAAGCTGGCCATGTAGTGAGAAGAACTAGAAAGAAACAGAGTACTAATTTTAAACATTGCTTATACAGTTAAGTGCCATCAATTGGTTATGTTCCATAGTGACTCTGTTTAGGGTTTCCAAGTAGCAGCTGGTGAGCTTAAACCTCCAAGCTTGCAGATCAAACCAACTTTGCAGTCCAACGCATTAACCCATAGCGCCACACCAGGACTCCAACATTCTTTACACTAGTCTTCAATTCCTTATACTAGTCTTCAATTTCCATTAAGGACTAAGTGAAACAGAAAAAAAAAAAAAGAGAGAATTCAATTAATTGAATTCTCAAAGCCATTTGAACTGCAAGCTCAGTGGTTCAAGCTCACCAGCTGCTCCTTGGAAACCCTATACAGGGTCACTATGGGTCTGAACCGACTTGATGGCAACAACAACAAATATAGTTTCATTAGAGCTGGATGACTTTCTAGACAGCTGCTTACTTTATTAGTCAAGCAACAAGTGTTTATTGAGCACTTACGACCTCTCCCACACAGCACTAGGATCTGAATATGTGACCCAGCCAGCATAAGGCCCCTCTAGTCTCTCTGGCCCAAAATTAACTTACATCAACAGTGCTCTATACTTTCATCAGAAAAACTTCCTTTCTTCCACTTCGCTAAGCAAGATTTGAGATTCAGTGTCCCTACTTAAGCACTGGAAAGAAATAAACAGCATAGAGTGAATTAAAACCATTTGTTTAAACAAGCAAGAGAAACCATGAAAATTCTCAGTTGAACAGAAGGTGGGAAAGGGCAAGAGAAAGATATGTAAATTTCAGGTTTGTGACAAACAATGCTGAGAAATGTACATTTCGTGTGTTCAAAGCCTGCCTTAGGCTATGAAAATTCTCCAACTCTATCCTTCTCTTAAATCACAAGAACAGTTTCAATACTAAGGTTCTAGTTCTTCAGGAGAGGAGTTTCTAGGGATCAGCTTGAAAGAAAGATCAGCAGTGCAATTTATAAGTCAACATGAGAAAAACGAAAAGGTGTGGGAAAGCAGGAGAAAGATCCAAGAAGGGGTGAGATCCTAAGAGCCATCAATAGGCTAACCTTACTTTTCTATATTCTCAAACCAGCGGTTTTCTTTAACACTAGAGGGCATAAACGGAGAGAGAGACCGCAGACAGACACTTGGCAAAGCAGTTGCTGAAAATCTGGGGGCCTCAATAAAACCGCTCACCGAGCTGGAGCGATCAAACGTCTTTTCGCTCTGCAAAACAAACCCTTACGCTTGTTTCCAAAAGAGCGGTTAGGATCTCGCCCATGCAAACCACTCTCCTAAAAACTGAGTGGATGGTTGTTTGAAGCCGACTGCCTCATTTCTGTTTCCAATGCTCCTTCCCTTCCTCTGCTAGTAACACCTTTGCCTCAACCCCTTTAGATGTTACCTCCCCCAAGCCCCCGTAGCTTCTGTGTTCGCCCACTATTTCTTTTTCAGCTGCCAGTGAAGGATGGAGACTCTCCACACCTGAAGACTTAACTGCTATCGCTGTCCAAATGGACAGTTTCTGTGCGCTCTGATCCGCGACAGCGCAGTCCCTCGGACTCCAGGAGGGAAATTTGGCACGGCGCCCTCCGCTCTAGCTCTTATGCCCCTCACTCAGCCCAAGACTCCTCAACAGCCCCGACAAGGGCAGGATGCCTTCAGACCCGCGCGTCCCCGTCGTCCCCCAGCAGGGAGGTCTGTACACCTGGCGGGTCAGGGTGTGTTCCTGTGGCCAAGGCGCCTCAGGATCGGATTAGGCAGCTGGAGCAGGGGACTGAGAGGCAGAAACAGAGAAAAATACTGCGAGACGGAGAGGCAGCCGGAAAAAAAAAAAAACAGAAGACACAGAGACATCCCAAGAGGGGCAGGGAGAAATAAATAAGAACGGCAAACAGTGAAACACGCTGTAGAATGGGGGAGAGAGTCAGAGAGAAAATCAGAGACAGAGACACAGAGAGAGAGATTGGAATGCAGAAGAGTGCTGGAAAACAGAGGAGAGGAAGGAGAGGGAAGAGAAAGCACCCGTCGAGGTAGACGCCCAACACCTAGAGCTTCCCCCAGGGTCAGGCAGTGTAGACGCGCCAGCACCTCCGCCTCCCGCAGCTGGCTAGAGAAAGTTGCTGGGCTGCAGGGCCGAGTCTCCGCGTCGCCGAGCGCCACTGGGTCACAGAGTGTGCCCAGAACCCCCAGCTGAGCCGGGGTGGCAAGGAAAAGCTGGGGAGAAGGCCAGCAGCAGCAGAAAGTTCCGTGCCAGGCGGTCTTCGCACCACACCTGCAGACCTGAGCAAGTGCGCTCTGAGAGCTAGGGAAGCTGCCTCATCTGGTTCACCCGCAACACTGCCCCAGGACCGGCCGGGGCGCTGGACCTCGCACCCTGGCACTCTCTGCAGGACTTTGTCCAATCAGTTTGGCTGCCCCTGACAATTAGGAAGAAAAGAGGAAGACGGAGACCTGCTATCCGTGGCCAAGGATGCCACTAAGAGGCAACGACGTCCACGTACTGAGTTCACACGCTGATCAAACCCAAAAGGCGCGCAGCCCAGTGCCCAGCGCGCGGTCTACTCTCACCTGGAATCCGCCGGCGGGGAGCGCCTCGCACAGTCCTGGATCCCTCGCGCGTCCCTATATTCACACTTCCCAGCGAGCAGAGTAAGCCGGCTCCGGCTTTGGCCAGCTCCAAAGAGGAGCCCTCATAGCGCGCAGCGGCGGGCTGGAGGGCTTGGCGAGCACGGCGAGAGAGGGCGCGGAGGCCGAGGAGACGCAGGAGACTGAGCGACGGCTCCTAGCACATTGTCACCTCAGCAAAGCCGCCACCGCTGCTGCCGCTTGGTCACTTCGCCCCCGGCCCCCGCCCCCCTCCCTCCCCAACCCGTTCCCTCCCAGCTCCTCCTCTTCGCACGGCCCCTCCCTCTCCAGTAGCACCAGCCTGGAGGCCTCTCACTGGGTTGGTATCTTTTACGTAACCAGCACCCCCCCTCCAACCCTTCTCCCTCCTCCCTCCTCCCTCCCGCTTCTCCCGGTTGGGCGATGCGCACAGAGCGCGCTCCAGCTGCTCCTGGAGCTGCCGGTCCAACGATGTGCACAAGTCCCGCGATACTTGGCAGGCACGGCCCCCGAGAGCATCCGAGGGTCGACTCTTCTAGAAAAGTGACGAGCTACTCCTGGCTACCCTTCGGGCCCCAATGTGTGAAAGCAGATTAGTGTACACCTTGGAAGTCTAATGCAAAACCAAGCCTTTTAGAGGAATATTAGGGGGTCATGGACAGCCCTCGGGGAAAGTTCAGGCAACCTTGTCCTCGCCTTCTGCACTCCAGCAGGGAGATGTTCGAGGGGCTAAAGATTTCCAGATTCTGAAGCAGGAAGGACTCACAGAATTTGCCTTGCTTGTCCATTACAGTTCACACATTCTGACAATATCCTAGTGTTTTGGTTAGCAGTGACTACTGCCACCGAATGATCTGTAAGGAAACGCATAGTGTTTCCTTATACTGTGAATTTTGTGAAGAGAGTTAAAAAAAAAAAAAGTCAGGCTTTAACTATGGTAAAAGAAGGGCTTTAAACGCCTTTCTCAGACAGTAAGTTAATTTACAAAGCCTCATTTGGATGTTAACAGACAGAAGCCCTCAAAAGATTGAATGCTTACATGTCTAAGTAAAGTTAGTGTGTTATGTAGCAGAAAGTTTACAGTACTTATTGAGTTAAAAGACGTGTAAGGCTCTTAAAACGGTGACTTCCTCTGGAATGACCAAAGATTCGGTTACTATTAGTGTCTGGAAGACTTGGGATTTATCCCCCAACTGCCATGTGGGACTCTTCTAAGAAACTGGAATTGCTGATTTCAAGAAAGTCCCTGCTTAAAATAACTAGCCAAGAGCCACTGTTGGCTCTTAGCTAGTCTCCAATTTCTTATCTGCAAGAAAGACTGAAATAAGGGCCCTTTCCTTCTCTCAAACGATGTCACTTCACTTTCCTATCCTAAATCCTATCAGTTTTTTGGCAGAATTGAGGGAAGATTTGGGCACTACTTCAAAAATAAAAAAGACCCATGTTGTACAAACTTTATATTAATTATTAATTATAATCCAGTAATTTCAATGACATTCTTGATTATACTTTAAAATATAATACTAGAGATACTATCTTTATATATTCTCAAGAACCATTTATCATATAAATTGGTATGACGATTATAAAGTAGTGTTTCCTCCTACATTATCTGTTCTACCACCCCTACTCAACCATCAATTATGAAATATCTGTCATAGGTGTCTTTTTGCATATATGAGGAAATGGGAAACTACTCATAACACTAGGAGCACTGCAGTTTTCCTCTTGTAAATTACAGTTCTACCATGAGTTCTGTAATGGAGCTCTGGTAGAGTAGTGGTTACGAATCGGGCTGCGAACCTTAAGGTCAGCGGTTCGAAACTACCAGCCGCTCCGCGGGAGAAAGATGAGGCTTTCTACTCCCGTAAGGATTTACACCCTCGGAAACCCTGTACAGGGTCGCTATGGGTCGGAACCGACTCGACGGCACTTAACAACAACAATAACAACAACAACCATGAGTTCAATTACTTCACATGGCATCTCTAGAAAAGCTGTGGATTAGCAGGTAAAAAAAAAAATTAAAATGAGGTTCTGATGCTACCCAGCCACTTACTAGCCTTAACCTTAACTCCACTCCCCCTTAAAAAACAAAAAAACAAAAAAAAAAACAAGTTTATTACAACTCATAGCCATCCTTTAGGACAAAGTAGAACTACCCTCCAAAGGCTGTCCAAGGCGGGGTCTTGTGTGGTGCTGTAGGATAAGCACTGGACTACTAACAATAAGGTCAGTGGTTCTAACCTGCTGCCCCTTGGAAACCCTATATAGGGCTGCTATGAGTCAAAACTAATTCAATAACACTTAACAACAAAGCTTACAGAGGGACATTGCCTCATCTGGAGTTCAAACAACTGCAGCACCAGGGCTCCTCTATATGCCTTGTTTTGTTGTTGTTAAGTGGTTTGGAATCAGTTCAACTCATAGCAGTTCAACTCAAACCCTATATAGGGTTTCCAAGGAGCAGCTGGTAGATTTGAACATCCAACTTTGTGGTTAGCAGTCCAGTGCTGATCCTACAGTGCCACACAAGGACTCCTCCATATTCCTTGACTTAGTAAAACGCTGTCAAGTCAGTTCCTGCTCATAGCAATCCTGTATAGGGTTTGCGAGGAGCCACTGCTGAATTTAAACTGCCAACCTTGCGGTTCAAACCTACCTTGAAGTCCAGTGCTTATCCCATAATGTCATACATAGTTCTGTGGGTTATATGATGATTTTATGATCTGGCTGATTCAGTTTGTATTAAATGGTTTAGGAAGGTCTCATTCACATACCTGGTGGTTCAAAAAGTTTCTTAGTCTTGAGAGGCAAGGCTCAGCAGAGATAAGTTATCTTTGTTAAATCTCATCTGCCATCCTCCAATTCGGTCTTCTTCCATGATGCTAGTGTGAGTTCTAAAAGGAAGCCTTTAAAGATTCTTCTGACACACATTTTGGTAAATGTTGCATTCAACCAAGGAAGTCATATCATTAAATTTTGCTTATAGGGGCAGAGTTGTTGTTATTGTTAATTGTCATCAAGTCGATTCAAAGTCATAGCAACACTGCATAGGGTTTCCAAGGAACAGTTGGTGGGTTTGAACCACCAACCTTGCAATTAGAAATCCAGTGTTTATCCTAGAATGCCATATCAAGACTCCAGGCACAGAATAGCATACTCCTTACCTTGGTGGCAAAAAATGCAAATTCATCTTGCAAAAGAGAACGTACATGTAAATGTAAATTATATGAGACCTTTTTAAAAATCTACCATAGATTCATGTAACATACAAGAGAATAAAAACATACTTTGCTTGATAATTCTAATAGATATCACATTAACCAAGTGGTCAAGGTTAAACTCACCAGTAACGGAACCAAGACATTATGTATCACATTAGATCACGCGCTAAGAAGTATACAATATTATTTACTCAGAATTTTAGCCAAAATGCATAATAGAACCATTCATGAAGAAATAGGGGGAAATATAAATTGAGGGGAATTTAACAAAATATTTTGTCTGTGTTATTTAATAATGTCACTGTTATGAAAGTCAAAGGTGAGGAACTATCCCAGACAAAAAGAGATTAAAGAAACATAATGTTTTAGTCTCCTTTTTGTTGTTAAATGTTGTCAAATCTGTTCCAACTCACAGTGACCCTATATAAGATTTCCAAGGAGCAGCAGATAAGTTTGAACTACAGACCTTGTGATTCCCAGTCCAGTTCTGATCTTATAGCACCACACCAAGAGTCCAGTGTCGCTATAATAAAAATATCTCACATGGTGATTATAACAAACAAAAATATATTCTCTCACACTTAATGAGGATTTGGTTGGTTGGTTATGTGCCGTAGAGTTGGTTCCAACTCATAGCAACCCTGTACAGGGTTTCCGAGGCTGTAAATCTTTACGGGAGTAGAAAGTCTCATCTTTCGCTCATGAAACAGCTGGTAGTTTCGAACTGCTGACCTTAAGGTTCACAGCCCAATTTGTAACTACTACACTACCAGAGCTACTTTGTTAATGAGGCTAGAAGTCCAAACTCAGGATGTTGGCTATAGGTAAAGACTTTCTTTCTCTGTTTACTGTGTACAGGATGTTGGCTATAGGTAAAGACTTTCTTTCTCTGTTTGCTGTGTACAATGGTCTTTATTCCTTGGCTCCTTGGTAATCTTCATTTGTCATGGGGTTTACCTTCTCTGATCTCTGCTTCCTCCTCTGTCTTATTCTGCTTATTTTTTATCTCAAAGATGGCTGACTTAAAAAATACCCTACATTGATGTTGTTGTTCTTGTTGTTGAGTGCCTTTGAGTTGTTTCTGACCCATAACAACCCTGTATACAGGGTTGCTAATGGTCAGAACCAACTTGACAGCACTTAGCAACAACAATACAAGTCCAACAGCTGACGTTATTTTCAATGGAGAGAAACTGAAAGCATTCCCTTTGTGAACAGGAACCAGACAAAAAAATGTCCTCCATCACCATTCCTAGTCAATACGTGGTTGAAGTCTTAGCCAGAGCTTTAAGGTAAGAAAGGGAAATTAAAAGCATCCAAATTGGCAAAGAAGGAGTAAAACTCTCGCTATTTTCAGACAATATGATCCTATATATAGAAAATCCCAAAGACTCAGCAAGAAAATAGTTGGAATTCATTGAAAAATTCAGCAAAGGGTCAGGGTACGAGACCAATATTCATTAACAACCTTGCAACCTTGCTTGCTGGAATTGAAGAGGTATTGAAATAATTAATAAAGCTCAAAGGCAACAGCCTTCAGTGTGGATTACAGCTCAACATAAAGAAACAAAAACCTTCACCACTGGACCAATAAATAACATCATGATAAATGAAAAAAAAATTGAATTTGGCAAAGAATGAATTAATTTTACTTGGATCCATAATAAATGCTCATGGAAGTTATCAGTCAAGAAATTAAATGCACAAAGCGTCTGTACAAGACTTCTTTAAAGTTTTGGAAAGCAAACATGTCACTTTCAGGACTAAGGTGCTCTGGACCCAAACTATGGTATTTTCCTTCACCTCATATTCATGGTATCTCCATACAATAAGCACTGGACTTCAAACCACAGTTCTGTGTGGTTCAAGCCTGCCAGCTGCTCTGGGAGAAAGATGAGGCTTTCTGTTCCCACAAAGATGTTTAAAAATCTTGGAAATCCTATACAGTATCACCATGAGTCAGAATCCACTTGACATACTTAACAACAACTATGCATGTGAAAGCTTAAA